ACTTCATACGCTGCAGCCCCTGCTTCAGCCCCTGGGTGTGGCCGTGACGCTGGCCCGCGCCCACTGCCAGGGAGTGCAGCACTGGCTGGCCGCCTCGGCCGCTCCACGGTGACGCGCCTCGCCATGTGAGTGTCCTCCCCCCCCTCCCTCCCGCTTCGCGACCGCTTTCGCCTGTGTTCCCCTCCTCCAACCCCCGGTTAAGTTGCTCTTCCCGTTCCCCGGACCACCTGAAAGCGCGTGCCGCGAGCACAAGAAGAAACAGCCTATACAGTTGCACTGGCTGGGGCGAGGTGTACCGTCGACGGCCCAGGGATACATACTCTCCATGCACTCACCGCCAGCTCTGGGCCTCCTCCTCGCCTTCCTCCTGTGAGGCCGATGTGAGTGGATGCGGCTGCAGCGACAGACAATGCCACCCTCACTTGCCTCTGGCTGTCTCGAACACCGCCGCTGATCTGAATGCTACAGATGCTGAGTTGGCCGTCGATCTGCCCACCTTTGCTCGATTCACCCGCGCAGTCTCCTCAGCGGCTGCGTCCACAGCAGCATCCTGCAAGTGGGATCATGGGAACGCATGGAGCGCGGGATTGACCGGGAGCAAGAATTCCAATGGTTGGCTGTCACGAGCGCGATTCAGGACTGGATGTTCAGCGCGAACCCGGCAAGGCCCCTACTGTGAATTTCGTTCGGTTATGAAACTTATCGCAAGCAAGCCAATACCAAACTGCCCCGTCAATGTCAGATGTGAGTGAGGAAACGAGCAACTCGTGCATCGCTATGTGGGCAGGCTGCCGAAGGGCCGCGCGGATGGGAATGAACAGTGGCGCTTTCCGAAGCCGTCGCAAAACAGCCCGCCGCGGGCGTCGAACGTTTGTTTCAAGCAATGCGGATGGGTCACGGGGCGGATCGCGGGGTAACGGCGACGACGACAGAAAAATAATGACGACAATCTGCACCCCAGAACTCACCTTCAACCACGCACCCAGGGACACTGCAACATCACTCGGCCCCCTTATTCTGACAGAATTGAGAGCTGAAGCTTGGAGACAACACAAACCATACCGAGCACGTTTGATTCGACTTGCGATGCGCTGCGTTTAACTGCATTGCTGCTTCGCTCTCTCTCAATGTGCATTGCACTTAGCTGCTCTGAACTCCTTTACATTACCACGCTGCGCCCTGCACTGCTAAAGCGTTGCCTCAGGGTTTCTCCTTTGTTGTGCGAAAGAAGCCAGTGCGTGCGACGCCATAATTCCAAGGCGTTGCTCGAGTTCCTTGACATTGGCTCCTCGCAATGGCGGCGCTCGAAGCTGTTCGGGTTCCTAGGTCGTGGCTCCTTGCATGGGCGGCTGGCGCCAGGCGTTGCCCGGGTTCCTAGGTATTGGTTTCTTGCTGTCTTCCTTGGGCTCCTCGGTCTTGGTTCCTTGCTGCCTTCCTCGGCCAAAACAATGTCAAGCAATACCCAGCGATACCATGCAAGGTAAAGCAAGGCCAACGAACGCCAAACAATGCCAACCACTGCCAAGCAATGCCAAACAGTGCAAAGCAGCGCGAAGCAATGCACAGCAATGCAATGTCACACAGAACCTAGCAATGCGAAGTATTGCCGAGCAATACCAAGCGGCGTCCAGCAATGCCAAGCAATGCCCAGATATTGCAATGTGTTTGCCAAGGTATTGCCAAGCAGTGCGCAGCGGGGCGACGCAACGCCAAGCAATGCAAAGCAAAGCGATTAGTTGTTTACTGACTTGGAAAGCTTTCCCCTACTTAGGGGTCGCGCAAGGGTAATATTGCCTTGTGCTGTTGCGCTTTGCTTTGAACTACGCGGCGCTGATTTGTCTTGGACATGCATGGCGTTTCGCTTTACGTAGACTTTCGCTGCAGGGTACTGCGCTGCTCAAGACTGCGGCGCCCTTCTCCGCACTGCGCTGCACTGCGCCAGCATCGAGCTGCTGTTTGGGTCGGGGCGGTCCTCGAGACATGGAGGGGGGGAGCCTCGACGAACCAGGGAGAGCCCTAAAGGAAAAGACGCGTGGAAGTGCCTGCCGCGGGACAGGACAGGAGGAAGAAGCGGAGGACGAGGCAGAGATCGGAGGAGGGCGCAACGAGACCACGGCGGCTCTCTCCCGCCCAACCCGAGAGGCCGCTCAAAAAATCGTCCTGGGACCCCTCCTGAGGCCCTCCCCGACGCGTGGCTCTGAAGGGGACCCGGCCGTGGCGACGAGGATGTGGGATGAAAAAAAACGGCCCTACCCTGGGTTGCAGGTGCGTGGTCTGCAAACCTCCTGGGAACCCCCGAAGCCTCGAGCCGCCAGAACGCGGCACACCACGCAGGGTTTACCCCCGTCAGCCCACAGGAGTTTCAGAGCACAGCGCCTCGTAAACCAAGGTGGGGGCGTTTTTTTCCCAACCATCCTGTGGTGTTGGGTCCTCGTTTTGAAGAGACGGTGCCCCGCGTCTCCTCTCCCTCCTTCCTTCCTTCCTTCCTCCCGCTGCCCCCTCCCTCCCTCCTCCCTCCTCCCACTATCACGGCACACCCCTCACACGTTTCGTGGCCCCATAGGGAGCTCCACCGAAGGCCCCAGTGGCTGCGTTCGCATGGCGGCGCCGCACCCATTTCGGCACACCCCTCACACGTTTCGTGGCCCCATAGGGAGCTCCACCGAAGGCCCCAGTGCTACCGCCCTCATGCGTCCCGTACGCCCAGGACAGCGTTTCGTGGCACGCCTTTCGTGGCCCCATAAGGATCCCCACCGAAAGCGGCACCCACAAAGCGTTATTCACAATTGCATATGGTTGGGTCCTTCGCCGGGATAATTTTTCTGCCCTTGAGAGGAGACTCCAGGAGGCAGAGCAGCAGGAGCGAAAAACGCCAGGTAGGACCGCCGCTGCCTCGACGGACCCTCCTCCGAGATACGCACTCTCGGGGCCCGCAGCTCAGCGATCTGGGCCTTGGTGCGGGCAATACTTCTGTCCACATCCACTGCAGTATGGAGTTTCGGGTTCCCTTCCCCAGGAGCCCGAGGCGCACTGGATATGTACAAATTTGCCCCCCCTACAGGCTCGATGTGTATCCGTATCCAGTGCGCCTCGGCCTTGTGGCGCCCCTTCCACACAAGTCCAAGACGCACTGGATATGGGTATAAATCTTGCCCATACTTGAGCGTCTCTATTTCGACTGGGGGAGCGAAGTTTACTGAAGTGAACAGATTTCGGTGTACTCGCATACCGAAATCCATCAGTGCAGTAGTCCCGGCCTCCCAAGTCGCCATGGAGTCGCTCAGGGGCCAGATCGCTGAGCCCCGTCTCTATCAGGGAGGAATCGTGGACGAAACTGTGCCCAAATCTCTGCTCAGGTATGACCGAAACTTGCACACGAAACTTTCCGACCGCGCCCGGGTGTGACCAAAATCTTTGGCTCGAAGCAAAGACGATCTGCAACGGTCACATCTCCGATCACACGATGTTTTCGTGCACGCTTCCGGCACGTTAGCGGTCACCGGTCTATATTTCTGTCACCGACCTTTTCGGCTGTCCGGGGCGGGGTACCATGAGAACTGTGTCCCGCTTCCTTCAGGCCCCCGGACCTTGACGGATCCACCTGGCCTGGATCATCCGAAGTGGCGAGGTTGGTTCGAGGGCTCTGGCCGAGACACGTCACAACGTTCTTTCAGACGCAAGCGACGGACACAAAATAGCGATCGCATTGTGTTGTCTCCCCCGTGCTTGGCCTCTGGAGGCCGTTTCCCGGCTCTGGGCCCGCCGGAAGTAGAATCCGGATGCAAAGCCAGCCTGGCGGAAAGGGGTCGAGATCCGCCAGGGCCCGCATCACACACACACACGCAAACACACACACACACACAAACACACACACACACACACACACGAGCGCGCACAAATGTGACGTCGGAGGGGAAGGTTGCTCATGTTTTACAACCTCGCTCCTCGGGGACTGCCCTGCTAACCTGAACGCAGAGAAATGGCCCATCCTGAACGGCGGCGCCACGCTTGGGCTTCCACCCTTCGCCGTCGGATGCGTCGGCCTATCCCGCCATCTTCTAGAGAATGAGGGAGTAGGATGGAGACTGAGGAGGAGGGGTGGCACCGAATGCGAGATACAGACATGGGTGATGTATTCACGAGATGCGAGAGAGAGAGAGAGAGAGCGACGGGGATATCCGTGGTACGCAGGATCAACATGTCCGATTCGATTCGCCACAACAACTCCTGCCCCCATCGCGATGACACACACAGAACTGCTGCTGTATATAAATGTGTATATATGTCTGTCTGTCTGTCTCCTGTGTGGCTGTCTGTCTGTCTGCCTGTCTCTTTCGTCTGTCTGTGTGTCTGTCTGTTTGTCTGTATGTGTTCTGTCTGTCTGTCTGTCTGTCTGTCTGTCTGTCTGTCTGTCTGTCTGTCTGTCTGCCTGTCTAAATGTCTCTCTCTCTCTCTCGTGGTTCGTTTGTTCGCTCACTCTCTCTCTCTCTCTCTCCCTCTCTCTATATTGAGATCTGCTGTAGGTCCCTGTCATCTTCCCGTGTGCCTATTTCCCTCTCTCTCATGTAACAAGAGAGAGAGAGAGAGAAAGAGAGAGAGAGAGAGATTTGTTATCCGGATAACCACGGATAACAATAGTCTTGTTATCCGAGGTTGTTGGCGGCGTTGAACTGAAGAGCGCCGTTTTCCCTAGCGCTCGCAGAGCCTTCAATGGGTTTGTACCCGAAACGGCAGTGGTGTACCACTTCATGAAAGCATCTCATGTACTCTCGACGTCTGGAGTGGATCTTCGCCAGCCCCTGCGGGCGCGCCCTCCCTTACCGAGGAAGCGGCCGCCGAGCGAAGCCTTTGGCCTTGCGCTCGAACGTGTGCCTCCGCCACAGGCACCGTAGTCCTGCTCAACGCTCGGACTGCGCGGGCACGTGAACTGAAACCTTCGCCTGCAGAGCCCCTCGCAAAGGTTCATCCATCAGCAGCACATGCATCTTCTCAAGGATCCGTGTCATCGTCGATGCGTCCAAGTGCTTGGTGCCGAGATTAGCCCGCTTCAGCTTGCCTGGCATCTTGGAGAGGGTGAAGCGGCCGCCGCGGAGAGCCTTATGGATCCAGAGCGCAAGCGTCTCCAGGTGCCGCACCGTGCCGCAGCCTCGGCGCTGAGCGTTGCCGATGGCCGCAGACAAGGCCGCCCACAGGCGGATGTCCACCACGATCCCGGAGCCCGCAGCGAGCACCTGCATGCCGATCGCACGCGAAGCCGCGCGCACCAGCCCGTGGAACTGTGCCTCGTCGCTGCTCATGATGATCGGGATCTGGGCAATGTATGCCGTGACGATGGTGTGGAGGCCGCACTTGACCACCACAGCCGAGGTACTCCTTCGCGTGAGTGGGCAGCCAGCCCAGTCGGTGTCGCCATAGACGTCCACGTGCTTGGGCTTGCACTGCCGTCCGTAGCGCCAGACTGCTCGAAGCGCCCCCTTGAAGGAACGGGCACAACGCTTGAGCATCTGGACGTGTCGCACCGCGGGAGGTTGCGCCAACTATATTGCACCGTGCAGCCTGTGCTGCATAACTTGCACGACGTAGCTTGCACCGCGAAAAGCTTGCACCCCACCACAAATCTTGCAACATAGGTATTGCGCCACATAGCTTCCTCCGCTACGCCACTACATACACCCCTTAGCTTGAACAACTTAGCGTGCGCGCCCTCAGCGCAACAACTTACATACTGGTTGGGACCCATGCTGGAAGGCATGAACATATCGCAGGTGGCCCTATCGGGCGAGTGCTCGAGGGGGGGCCCACACATACTGCATCGGGGGCCGATTAAATGAGGTGGGGCACGTCATCAGAAGCACGCAACAAGTCTGGAGCTTACATGTGCTCAAGCGTGAGACGCATAGGGTTCAGTGTGGCTTGTTCCCGAGGATGATTGAGCAGAGCTCGCAGAGCTCTCGGAGGCGACACCTGCGTCCCAATCGCCTACATAACCTGGCGTGCTCACCTGATTGCTGGCTCCCTTCCAGGGGGGAAGCCTGGGCATGAGGGCGCAGAACCCGCCATTGCTGTCTGCCGAGGCGGCTCGCGTAGGGTTGCGGCTGGGAAGGGGGGGGGGCTCGTGTCGCGGGGGGCCCTGCTCGTCGTCGTCCTCTTCTCCGGGGGCTCGCCCAAATCCGGCTTGTATAGTTTAATTCCCGCTGGAACCGAAGTGTGCCCCTTTCATGTCCTATCAGCGCTGCGCTGATATCGCTGACTTGTGGGGTGTCTCCCCCTTGCGCACTGACGGGGGCCCGGAAGTGCGGTGGCCGCAGTCTCCTCCTCGGCTGCGCGCCGCCCTTCGGGGGCTCTTCTAAAGTGATTCCGCCCCGGGGGGGCCACGAGGCTGCTCTATAGGGCGGTTCCTCCTTAACCCCAAACTACTTTCGAGAACTGCTTTGCTCTTCAGGAGGCCTTAGCCGCAGCTCGTGCGCATCATGCGAAGACCAACGCCAAGCAGACATTGATTGGACGAAATCTCCCGTGCAAATTCCGAAGAGCTTTCGACGAAAACTCCGTGAGATTTCACATGATCGTCCTTCCTGATATCATGCAGCTCCACATGGGGATGACGGAGATGGGGGGGGCGACCGGCTGCCACTTTTGCACCTTCGCGGCTTGTCTCCATCAGTTCTCAATTTCCATCCATTCGTCTCCACTTCTCGCAGTCAGACCTGTCGGCGCGCTCAGCCTTCGCCCCACCTGCTGGCGCTGCTCCGATGTAGAGCCGATGGATGAGATCGAGCCTGCTCTCCGCGCCGTGACCTCATGCATGGCAGCCCTAGGAGGAAGAGGCCAGCAGGACGCTGGTCCGCGAGCTGCAAGCCAAGAACGGTAAGCTCAAGAGCTCAGCCGCCCCGATACGGAAGACGCAGCACGTAGCGCATTGACACGGAGCCCACCACGTGCACTGAAAACGTAGGCATCACGCGATACGCTTGCCAAAACACGGGCCAATGTGTTGAGCCAACACGCAACGTATGGACACGGACGGTTTGAACCCCACCCCGGCTTGACCCAGGGAGCCCCCTTCGGACCACCAGGCCGCGGTGGCGGGTGGAGCCTCCCAAGTGGAATTGCTGGCCCCCGTGCCGTGGACCTCGGTGGTGAAGCAGACATCCGACCTCGTTGCCAACTTCGCCACGCTTGTGCTCTTGGCCGTGTGCCAGTGGGCGTCCGTCGCGAACAGAGCCTGGGCGTCCCACGCCGTAGCAAAGAAGCCCCCCACGAGCTGCCCGCGCCGTCGATCGGCAACCAGCCGGCAGGGCAGGTCGGCGAGACAGCGGAGGTAGCAGGATGTGGTCCGCAGGAACATCGCCGAACGCGCGAAGAACGCGCAGCCGTCGGTAGGTGCAGCAGGGCGAGGAGGGGGTGAATGGACAGGAGGAGGAGGAGGAGGAAAAGGAGGAGGAGGAGGACAAGGAGGAGGAGGAGGAGGAGAAGGAGGGAGGGCGGAGGCGGAGGCGGAGGAGGAGGAGGAGAAGGAGGAGGAGGAGAAGGAGGAGGAGGAGGAGGAGGAGGGCGGAGGCGGAGGCTGAGGGGGAGGAGGAGAGGAGGAGGAGGAGGAGGAGGAGGAGGAGGAGGAGGGGAGGAGGAGGAGGAGGAGGAGGAGGGAGGAGGCGGAGGAGGAGGAGAGGAGGAGGAGGGAGGAGGAGAGGAGTAGGAGGAGAAAGAGAAGAAGAAGGAGGAGGAGGAGGAGGAGGAGGACGGGGGGGCGGAGGAGCGCGTATGAGGAGGGATGAGGAGTAGGGGCGGGAGCGGAGGAGCGGAGGAGGGAGGAGAGGAGGATGCGGAGGAGGGATGAGGAGGACCAGGAGGAGGGAAAAGGAGGAGGACCAGGAGGAGGGAAGAGGAGGACCAGAAGGACCAGAAAGAGGGAAGAGGGAGGAAGAGGAAGACCGGGCGGAGGGAAGAGGAGCACCGGGAGGAGGACCCGGAGGATGATGAGAAAGAGGAAGACCAGGATCAGGATGAGAGGATGAGCATTATAAGGGAAGAGAAGGACCAGGACCCAGAGGAGGACTTTAAGAAGGTCATTTACGCTTGCTTCGCATACTTTGTTGCACACTCTGCCTAAGTCGGCTTCGCAACGCATGCTTTTCTTCAGCGGCTGAACGCAATAGCCTTGATGCTCATGTCGGTCCAGCGTGAAGGGGGGCGGGCGGTGGAGGACTGAGGCGGAAGAGAACGGGAGCGGAAGAGGAGGGAGGTGTTTGGCGACAACGTCTGCGAGGTCATCGTGGGAATGATGAAGACCGACTGAGCTCGAATCGGGGGGGGGCTACCAAGCAAGGGGAACCAACGGACCGCGCCATAATGAGCGAAACTGACCTGGACTAGGCGAAACTCGCACCACGGATATATGACATAGCACCGATGCCAAGCTCAGTATTAGGTGGCAACTCATGGGAGTCTCCCTTATCATCTTGTCGGCTCTTGCGAATCGGCGCTAAACGACGCTAGTCGACGCTAATCGACGCGACATCGACGCTAATCGACGCAAACCGACGCTACCTCGGCGCTACCTCATCGACTCCCAGACGCTGTTCGATGTTGACCAACGCTGAAGACGTAAAGACGGAATTGCGAGGGCGTACGATGCTCCCATGATTGCTACCGACCTCCCAGGAGCTCCAGCCTGAGAGGAGGGAGGCGAAGCGAGAAGAGGCGCTAGCCGATCGTCCAGGATGGCGGCCCTGTGAGGGGGGGGGCGAGCAACTTGGTGCTCAATCGAAGAAGTTATGGGAGCGCAGAGGCAAGACCGAGGGGGCACCCTCACCCAGGCCCAGGAGCATTCTGATGGAGAAGTCAGTGAGGAGCATTCTGATGGCCAAGTCAGTGGCCGAGGAGGAGTGGGGAGGGCCAACCGTCCCTGACAGGAGGGATGCGCCAATCTTTGTGGCGCGCGCTGCAGCAGCTGGACATGGTGCGCGAAGGACGCAACGAGGATGGATCGGCGGCGGAGGAGAGTGCACCCCGTGGGGCCTTGGAGTCCTCCGCCTGCCGCTTTCCCTCCGGCTCGTCGTTGCCAGCCTGGTCGCCACAAGGGGGGGGCGGAGGGCGGGCGGGGAGGTGGCGGCGGCAAGGACGCGGGCGCAACAGTGCAGCAGCGCGGCACGGGTCTAGCTCCTCGACTGGCCGAGCCAAGCTCGTCCCAGAAGCCAGGCCACGCCACGCTGAGCCGAACAACCACCGGGGGGGGGGGGATGCGAAGAAACACCGCGCACGTCAAACCCACATGGTCGCACAATGCAGGGCTGAGCAGAACTAAGCCAGAATTCGATCAGGAGGGATACCGTCAATCAACCAGGCGATACAGCCACGGTGCCCTGACTTTTGGTAATGGGAGCGTCACGCGTTCCACAGCAACGCCATCGGATCCTGAGCAACCCAGGGCACCCTGGAGGCAAGCAGGGTGCTTCTTGACATGGGCCCCCACTGTATCCTCACCCGCTTCTGTCCTCGTCCTGCCTTCGTCTCCTGGACGCCTCGTTTTGCTCGGGGATCTCCTGACCCGGGTCAACCCAGACCTGGGTCAGCCAGGGCTTGCAGAATCCTGCAAGATCCTGCAAGACCCTGCACCCAAACCCGGGTCAATGCGAAGGATCCTGCAAGATCCTGCAGGATCCTGCACCCAAACCCAGGTCAATGGGAGCCTGGCCCTGCAGGATCCTGCAAGATCTGGCGCTCTGGCTGACAACCGTTTGCATTGACCCCCGTCTCAAAGCTCCCGATTTGCCTTCCGCCGCATTCTGCCCGCGGGCTCGCCGCCGGTCCTCCGCCGAGGGTGGGGGCGCGCCGAAGGCGAGGCCCTCGCTCTGAGAGCAGGGGCTCGACTGCAGAACCGGATGTACCCCAGGATTGTTTTTTTGTTGTCGAGCTTTTGTCGAGCCGATGGCGTTTGCTGCAGAACTGTTGACCCCGATGTTACTGGTTTGGGAACTGTTTTACGATGGCGCATGTCGAGCCTGTCAGGAAATGCTTTACTGCAGAACCGATTTACCCCAGGATTGTTTTTTTGTCGAGCCTACGACTAGGCCGGGCATGTCCCCCCAAAAACAAATACCCCAGACATTCTCAAACATAATTTCAAAAAGTAGTCGAGACATTGTCCATGGACTATATCTTCAACTATTTTTGAAGATTCCTCCTGTAGAGGGACGTGCCCGACTTCAGCCTACGACAAATACCTAACATGTTCCACATATCTACGGGGTATTCTGAGCTGTCTCGTAGGTTCGACGGGAAATCAACGTCGGGGCAGATCGATTCTGTGGTCGGTCCCCATGCTCGGATTCTGAGGAGCGCCACAGGATGCGCTTGTTCTGATAGCCTAGTTACTCTGACTCGGCTGGCCTGCCGTACTTTGACTCGCCCAGGCTCGATTTGCGATGCTCCCCCATGTCCCAACTTATCTCACCACATCGGACGACGTGCTGCCTGATCAGTGGTCCTCTGGGGATCTTGTCGCAAATGCCTGATCACTTGTTTGACGCATGGTCGAGGCCCTGCTGGAGTCATGCCGTCCTCGAACGAAGCCAGAGTAAGACTGCCTCTCCCCTGGAAAGATGCAGCGCGAATCTGTCCCAGCAGATGCTGGGCGCCCCGGAACCCTCGGATAGCCTGCCACCCCACTCCCCAACACCTTCACGCAGAAGCTGCCCCCGCGGCCGAACAAGCGAGCGCTTTCGCGATCCAGGATGCAGCGGGCCTGCTCAGCCCCGGCGTCTGCGCGCCCCTCTCGCCACACGGCCTGCCCCTGTCCGGAACGCCGCTCTGTTGCATCGGCTGGCATCACGTGGGCGCGGAGCAAGTCCATACTTATCTCGGCGGCGAGCCCAGGGGGGAAGCGAGAAGGGGCGGGCCTTCTCAGAAGGCTTGGAATTCCCTGGGCCTTCTGAGAAGCTTCCTGGACCTTCCCGAAGGCAGTAAAAAACTTCTCCAGAGGCGCGATGGCTGCTGAGCAGTCCCGCCGCCTTCCGAGAAGGCCTTCTCCTTCTCACCCGCCCCCCCTCGCTCGCCGCCGATGGACCCCTCGCCCTCGGCCCCACAGATACGGCGGCGGCTCTGAACGGAAGCCCCGCGCGGAGCGCCTCGGCATGGGATCGCGCCTCGCCGCCCACGCCGCGAAGGCATGCAGCTCCGGGAGGAGGAGGAGGAGGAGGAGGAGGAGGAGGAGGAGGAACGAGGAGGGAGGAGGAGGAGGAGGAGGAACGAGGAGGGAGGAGGAGGAGGAGGAGGAGGAGGAGGAGGAGGAGGAGGAGGACCCCGAGGCCCGCCGCGCCAACGTCGAGGCCGCTCCCGGGCATCCGAGGTGGGCAAGTCGGGAGCCACACGGGGCCCCGCCCCGGCGGCCCTCGAGGAGGGGGGCCTCCAGAAGGGTACCGATGCCGCTGCTCCCCGGAGCTCTCCCCGGGGTGCGCTCTCGACCGGGGTGCCGAGGCGCAACCGGCGGTGGCGACGAGGGCCTCCCAGGAGGGCCAACGAGAGGAAACAAACGGGCAAAGGGCAGCGGTAGGGGCATCTTTTCCTCCTCCGATTTTCTCTGGGGGGGCAGGGGGGAGCGAGAGCCCAAGGAAGGCCCGCGGCCCGAACGGGGGAGGCCCAGAAAGGGGAAAGCGCGGAAAGGGTGGCCGTGTAGTGGCACCCCTTCCTGCCCGGGGAGACGCGGAGAGGCCTCGCCCGGGTCGACCGAGGGGCGCTGCCCATCACTGGCGCAGACGCCCTCAGGCACAACAGAGAGCCGTTCTCGTTTCGTCGTCCTCCTCCTCCTCCTCCTCCGCCTCCTCTTCCTCCTCGTCCTCCTCCTCCTCCGCCTCCTCCTCCTCGTCCTCCTCCTCCTCCTCCTCCTCCTCCTCCTCCTCCTCCTCGTCCTCCTCCTCCTCATTGGAAGCGCCAACCATTGCACGTGGCGGCCACGGGCGGGCGCCAGCACCTCGTCCTCCCAGGGAAGGAGCGGAGTGGCCTCGCCTGGGCCGACGGAGGGGCGCGGCCCCTTGCCGGCGCAGACGCCCTCACCGGCAGCGAGCGAGGGGGGGAAGTGAGAAGGAGAAGGCCTTCTCAGAAGGCGGCGCGACTTCTCAGAAGGCCCCTCGCGCCTTCTATGAGAAGCTTCTTCTGCCCTCGAGCAAGGCTTAGAACACTTCCCAAAGGCCGGGGGACTTCCGAACCTTCTGAGAAGGCCTTCGCCGTCTCACCTCCCCTCCTCGCTCGCCGCCGACCTCAGGCACAACAAAAAACCGCTCTGGAGGCATCTCTTGGCCTGCCCTTGGCGCTCGCAGGGTTTCGGAGGACGCCACTTCTCCTCGACACCAGTGCTGCGCTGGCCGATCCTGGGCGGAGCCAAGTTCGGCGGAGTGGATACTGGACCCCTGAGAAGATGGGCACTCAAAGTATCCCTAACCATTTGGGAGGGGACCTACGTTATCTTTTCTGCAGATGTGTTAGGCCAAACCGCCCGAATGTATGATCCCTGATGCGCTAACGGGTACTTCAGCGAGGCCACGTCTTTAGCATCTTATTAGGGCTAGGATTCTTTCATCGTGAATGATGAGAGCCGACGTTGAACAAAAAATGCGAAAGCACAGGAACTCACGCCGAGACACCCCGGGGCCCCATCTTTCTGCGCCATGTTTCGAGCTGGAGCGATCTGTGAGGGCCTCGGGGCCCGCAACGGAGCGAGAACACGCCCGGCTCGAGAAAATGGAGCCGCAAGGACCTCAGGCATAGCTGCTCTTCCTTGAGGGGCCCTCTCGTCGACGCGGGCTCATGACGAATCCATCGACAAAGAGCCCGCCGGACCAAGCACGGCCGCCATCGGCACCCAGAGGGGTCCAGGCACTGCGAGCCAGAGACCTGCAGGCCCATCGACACGCAATGCAATGGCCTTCGGCACGTCGCGACACCGTGCCCGAGTCGCGGACTTGAATACATAGAAAAATTGCCTTCGGCACGTGGCGGACCGGGCCCACAAGCACACACAAATGAATACACACCAATCCCATGATTCCCCATCTGGGCTTCCGTCCCCCCGCCCACCACTTCCCAGATGTTCCGATCTATTCTCTTGCGAGCCGACGATTGCTTGTCTGTGTGTTTGTCCCCTCCTGAGCCTCTTGGAAGCTCCTTGGCGTCTCCTCGGGGGAGAGCATGCTACGCATGGAATGAATTCAATGAAAATAAATTGCAGTGGATCCGTGAGTGGATCAATCTTGATTGATGAGGCTATCATGCCTCTTTTGATTTTGAGCCGGCTATGATGCCCGCTCGTGCCCACCCCGCCCTGTCTTCAGGGACTTCGCATCCCCCTATGATGGTGGGATGGGAAGACGGGCCGCCGCCCCTGGCACTGCACGTACGGTGCCAGGTTTGTGGGGATTTGGTTCGACCCCCGCAGTTCCAATGATGGAAACTGCGGCGCCCGCGCGGCTGCGGCGGTGGCCGCAGCAGGGCCGGCGCCCCCGGATGGGGCCCGCGCCACCGCTGCGCTCTCGGAGAGGCGCGCGTCTGCTCACCCGTCGACGGCGCCCGGGCGGCGCGCCCCCCCTCCCGCGCAGAACACCGTCAGCGGGCCTGGGCGAGGAAAACCTAGCACTGAGCCTGAAGTCGGGCGCTTCCCCCTACAGGGGGGATTTTGGGCGAAAAAGGAAGCATACCCCAGAAAATGCCTCACCCTCATGGGCAAAAATAGTCAACAAAAATCGTCCCCAGACTATTTGTTTAAAACTATTTTTGAATTTTCCTCCTGTAGAAGGACAGGCCCGACTTGTACTGAGCCCCCCAAACGCCCCGTCGCCTCCTGGCAGAGCCGGGCCGGGGTCGCCGGACCCGCGCTGCTCGGCCCTCGCATAGGGGGAAGGGCGGTGGTGAGCGTCGTCCTTTTCGGCGTGTCGGCATTGAGCCGCCGGGGGGGGGAGGGGGAGGGGGGGGTGTCTGGCTCCAGACCTCTGCTTAGTGCGACTGCTTGCGACACGACGCCCACGAGGGGGGAGGCTCCCCCTGCCTGAAGCAGGCTCCAGAAGCGGCCAAGATCTGCTCCATGGGGGGAAGGGGGGAGGGGGGGGGGGGGCGGTGCGAGGGCCCGCGCCGATCGGCAGGACAACCCCTGACCTTCCAGAGTGCTAAAAAATAGCCCTCCAGACCTGTGGACCTACCTGGGCTGCCTAAAACCTCGACTGGAATCAAGATATCGAGGTCCTGGTGCTATTTGTTAGCCCTCCTGGAAGATCAGGGACGAGTAACAAAAACGGCCGCACGCGGCAACGCATGCGGCGTTGCTGCTCGGGGCGTGCTGCAGCGCTGCCTTGTCGCCGCCGTCGCTGTTCGCGTCCGAGCCCGCGCCTGCCGCCGGGGCAGGCCTGGGGGCGGGGGGAGCATAGGCACGGTGCCAGCACTGCAGGCGCGGGGCGCGCCGCCAGAGGAGCAAAGGGCAGCGCGGGGAGCTTTGCGCAGTCGTTGCAAGTGGCAGTGTGCAAAATCTGGCCATCGCTCGGACGTCCATTTCCTGTTTTTTTGTCGGTTTCGTGCGTTGTTTTTTCGCGAAATGATCAAGGATGCTCTTCGATGGTCCTCGCCGAAGGAAAAATGCACACGTCCGAGCGATGCCAAGAAATGCCGACCCGATTGCGAGATCGTGCTTGCTGGAGCCTCACGGCTCCTCCGGGTGCTGGCGCTGTCTGTTGTTGCGGGCTTGGTGGGCAGGCTCGTTCACAACAAAGCATCACATCCGACACGCCAGCGGGGTTGACGTGCAAGCGGACTCAATCGAACATGTTTTGGACACTGCACGCGTTGAAGGTGAACTGATATTGGTGACTGCGATGGCAACTCAATCAGTGGCGATTGAAAAGTACACATGCTCATCCATGACAGCGAATGTCAAACACGTCGAGCCACCGCTCCCCCCCTTTCCTGGTAGAATCCTAGAACAGGGGGGGCTTGATGAACCTCTCATATAATCCTAGTATGGCTGGATCCAGCTACACTTGAATCCTCTGAAGGCTCGATCCAACTTGTCTAGCATGATACTGTGGCTTTTGCCAGCTCAACTAGAATCCTATCAAGGCTTATTCGGCCTCGACCCAAATCTAATACAGTCCTACGGGGGCTCGATCCAACTTTACTAGCGTCCTGGCAGGGCTCGGCCCAACTCTGACACAAACCGACTATAGTTGGATCCAGCTGTAATCGAATCCTACTAAGGCTCGGTCCAACTTTGATAGCATCCCAATAGGACTCGATTCACCTCAGATTGAACGCTACTACGGTTCGATCCAGCTCCTATAGAATCCCACCGGGGCTCGATCCAGCTTGATTGGCGTCCCACTCGGGCTGGGTCCAGCTCTACTTGGATCCTACAGGGGGTCGATCCAGCTCCAGTAGAATCCTGATAAAGGCTCGATCCAGCTTTGACAGCATCCTACTAGGGCTCGATCGTCGTCGTCGTCGTCGCTGCCCGACGGCCGGCGCCGGGGCAACGCCCCCCCTGCCCGGCTCGAGCCGCCACCTCTGAGGGGGGCGGCCCACCACCTCCCCGGATCGAACACCCCCCCCCCGTTTGGAAATGCAGGCCCCCCCCCCCCTCGGACCAGAGCGAGTGAGGGCAGAGGGCCGAGAGGAGGGATGATCAGGGGAGGAGGAGGAGGAGGAGGAGGAGGAGGAGGAGGAGGAGGAGGAGGAGGAGGAGACTCCCGGTTCGAGCCCCGCCCTCCCTTTTCCCAGCGTCAGCGGCACGCGCTCTTTTCTGGGGTGGGCTACACCTGGCCTGGCCTGGCCTAGCCTGCAAGCGGGGTACAGGTGCTCTACATGGTTCAGGGGGGTTAGCGATCCGGGCCAAGTGGACTCCGGCCAATTCGCGGCATTATTTGACCCCTTGAACTGTTTATTGGATGCCTGGAAATTGGCACCGACACAAACACAGGGGGTTTGCCTCCACCGCGGGAGTACGATCCTAGATCTCGGTGTTGGTGGTAATCTTTCGGCCACCTAGGAAGCCAGAGTATTACCACCATCACCGAGATCAGGACACTCTTCCCTCCGTGGAGGCACACCGCCGATATTGGTGTTTGTGTCAACCTCTAGGCCTCCGGGTGTAGTGCGCGCGTAAAGGAGAGGGGCTTGGGTTGCGTAAGGCCATGTCTTCTTTTAAATTGCCTTCGACCGTGGCAGACCTCATTGAATACTAAGGTGTTGTGCGCGGTGTGGCACAGCGAGCGGGCTCCGGATCAAACTCTGGTTCGAATGTCAGACCTGGTCCCACACACCGATGTCCGGAGTGCTCGCCCCCGTCCTTCCTGAAAAAACATGCCCAATTTTCAGAACGCGCTTGTCGACGTCTTCTGTCTTGGCTCTGCGTTTCCCCCCGAGAGGTCATCGCCACTTTCCCCACGCCGTGGCCCCCGCCCGGGAACAGCGCCTCTTGATTCGTGGGTGCCGTTCGCCAGAAAGGGCCCACCTCCTTGAAATGCCCGTGACGAGGCAAACGATTCTTAATTATTGGCCCTGTGGCAAAAGAAGCACACGTGACCCATAACACGACCCAGCCCCACTCCGATGTAACCCATTTGTGCGCTAGGCGCGTCCAAATTTTACGCGACTCAGTACCCACATCGAACTTCTCGATCCACTTAGCAACTTCAGCGAGGATCTCAGCAACCGGCTCCAGGCCCCCAGACATCCGGCGCTCCGATTTCTTGACGCGTGAGCCCGCGGGGGTCTGGACCACTCGCCTACAGGGCGAGGTTTTCTTCCCGAGTCGTTTTGTTGACGGTCGCGGGCCCCGTCGACGGCCACTGGAGGCTGAAAAAAAAAACGGCAGCTCCCAGTTCTGTCGGAGCCACGGACCTCTGGTTCTGAACCTCCGGAAGCGCAGGTTTCTACTCGCGGCGGTCACGGGCGCCGTGGGGGAGGGGCAGGTGGGGGGGGGCATGACGTAATCAACGCCCCCAACCCCCTCCCGCCGTGTGGGTCCAGCACCACAGGCGCAGGACGCACTGCGGTAGTGCCGGGGGACCTCTCTGGGGGGGGAGCGGGGGCGTTGCGTTAGGAAGGGGGGAGCGGGGGGGGGGGGGGGCGGGGGGGAACACAGCGCGCGTTATGGCCCAAAATTTGGACGCCCGAGATGGGTACGGAACAAAATGGGTACAATGCCCAACAGCAAATGTTCGTGCAGACAGAGGGTAGACACACAACACACAACACACGGCACACGACACACACACACAACACACACCACACAACACACAGCACACAGCACACAACACACACACACACCGTCATTGGTCCCTGGCGGGCCTCGCCCCGTCCTCTGGCGCGGCGCTGGCCGGCGTGCCACGGCCCGCAGCCGGCGCGGCCGCCTCTGCTGGCGGCAGGGCGGCCTGGCTGCGGGCCGGCGGCGGGCGCAGTGCGGCGGCGGCGCGGGCGGGGGTCGCCACGGCGAGGGCTCCAGATCTCTCCTCTGATGTCCTTCTACTGTCCTCTTCCTCGTTATCCTCCACCTCCTCGTCCTCGTTCTCCTCCTCCTCCTCCTCTTCCTCGTTCTACTCCTCCAGCTCCGCCTCATCTTCCTCCTCCTCCTCCTCCTCCTCCCTTCTCCTCCCTCCTCCATCCTTCCTCCTCCCTGTGCCCTCCTCCCTTTTCCCTCCTCCCTCCTCCCTCTTCGATCCTCGCTCCTCGCAACTGCCTCCTGCCTCCTCCCTCCTCCCGCCTCCAATTCCTCCTCCTCCTCCTCCTCGTGCTCCTCCTCCTTCCCCTCCTCCTCCTCCTCCTACTCACCCTTCCTCCTCTTTCTCCTCCTCATCCACCTCCCCTGCCCTCTCCTTTCCTCTTCGTATTGTCCTCTCATCCCTCCCATTTCCTGTCGCCCGCTCCCGTTCCTCTCCTCCTCCTCCTACTCCTCCTCCTGCCATTTGTCCCTTTGCTCCTCCTCCTCCTCCTCGTCCTCCTCTCTTCTCATCATCTTCTCGTAAAAATAGAAGTGCCACGTATCCTCCTCCGCCTTCTTCTGAATATCATCTTCTGCTATATCTGGCTCGATGTCGTTTCGGCTTCCGTTTTATGCGTGCCCGTAGTATTGTACTACTAATAGTACTTGTTTAAGAATTGGCATGACTATTAGTCGACTTGCGACAAGTGGTATTACCGAGTACTCGTAGTGGTAGCAGCGGTAGTAGCATTAGTACTAGTAGAAGTAGAAGTCGTAGAAGTAGTAGTAGTAGTAGTAGTAGTAGTAGTAGTAGTAGTAGTAGTAGTAGTAGAAGTAGAAGTAGTAGTATTAGTAGTAGTAGTAGTAGTCGAAGAAGTAGTAGTAGTAGTAGTAGTAGTAGTAGTAGTAGTAGTAGTAGTAGAAGTAGTAGTAGTAGTAGTAGTAGTAGTAGTAGTAGTAGAAGTAGTAGAAGTAGTAGAAGTAGGAGTGGCAGTAGCAGTAGCAGTAGCAGTACCAGAAGTAGTAGTAGTAGTCGTAGTAGTAGTAGTAGTAGTAGAAGTAGTAGTAGTAGTAGTAGTAGTCGTCGTCGTCGTCGTCGTCGTCGTCGTCGTCGTCGTCGTCGTCGTCGTCGTCGTCGTCGTCGTCGTCGTCGTCGTAGTCGTAGTAGTAGTAGTAGTAGTAGTAGTAGTAGTAGTAGTAGTAGTAGTAGTAGTAGTAGTAGTAGTAGTAGTAGTAGTAGTAGTAGTAGTAGTAGTAGTAGTAGTAGTACCACTATACTAGTAATAGTAAAAGGCGTAGTAGCAGTGGCAGTAGCAGTAGCAGTAGTAGTAGTAGTAGTAATAGTAGTAGTAGTACTACTACTACTATTAATAGCAAAAGTAGTATCCGTAGTCGTCGTAGTAGTAGTGCTTGCTGTTGAAGTAACAATGAAACCAAACGTTCCACCATTAATCCGATTAATAACACCAGTTCTGGTAGTGGCGGTAAGGGTGTTGCTCTTCGTAGTGGTGGCGGTGATCGTAGTAGTAGTAGTAGACGTCGTCGTAGTAGTAGCAGTAGTAGTAGTAGTAGTAGTAGCAGCAGCAGCAGTAGTAGTAGTAGTGCTGGTAATAGTACTAGTAGCAGTAGCAGTAGCAGTAGTAGCAGTAGCAGTAACAATAGTAGCAGCTATAAAATAATACGACGACCAAATTCTTACCGTGAAGTCATGTACTATCATCAGCAGCGCTGGCGTTGCTGTTCGTAGTGGTGGTGGAAATCGTAGTAGTAGTAGTAGTAGTAGTAGTGGTGGTAGTAGTAGTAGTAGTAGTAGTAGTAGTAGCAGTAGTAGTAGTAGTAGTAGTAGTAATAGTAGTACTCGTAGTCGTGGTAGTAGTAGTCGTAATCGTAGTAGTAGCAGTAGTAGTAGTAGTAGTAGTAGTAGTAGTGGGAGTCGTAGTAGTAGTCGTAGCAGTAGTAGTAGTAGTAGTAGTAGTAGTAGTGGTAGTAGCAGTAATAGTAGTAGTAGTAGTAGTAGTAGTAGTAGTAGAAGTAGTAGTAATAGTAGTATCAGTAGTAGTAGTAGTAGTAGTAGTGGTAAACGTAGTAGTAGTGATAGCAGTACTAGTAACCGTCGAAATAGTAGTAGCAGCAGTAGAAGTTGAAGTAGCAGTAGTAGTGACAATAGTAGCCGCAGAGTACCCTATGTAGTAGTAGTAGTAGTAGTAGTAGTAGCAGCAGTAGCCGTAGCAGCCGTAGTAGTAGTAGTCGTAGTCGCCGTCGTAGTAGTAGTAGTAATAGTTATAGTAGTGGTAGTAGTCGTCGTAGTAGTAGTCGTCGTAGTAGTAGTGGTAGTAGTCGCAGTAGTAGTAGTAGTAGTAGTAGTAGTAGTAGTAGTAGTAGTAGCAGTAATAGAAGCAGCGAAAAGAAGAAGTAGAAGTAGTAGCAACCGAAGTCACACTCAAAGTCGTCGTAGTAGCAGCAGTCGCCGTAGAAATAGTAATAGAAGTAGCAGGAGTAGCGGTAGTAGTAGTAGTAGTAGTAGTAGTAGTAGGAGTAGTAGTAGTAGTCGTAGTAGTAGTAGCAGTAGTAGTAGTAGTAGTAATAGTAGTAGTAGTAGTAGTAGTAGCCGCCGCCGTAGTAGTATCGTACTAGTAGTACGGATACCAAATAGTTCTTGAAGCGGTAATGGTAATAGTATTAGTCGCCGTCGTCGGAGTACAATACTAGTCATATACGTAATGTTATTAACAATTGTCGTTGGTGTACGAATTCTTCCACATCAATATGTTTGTGTTCCTAAGTCGTAACCTTCCTGTTCGTCCTCTTCATGTTGCTTTTCCTCCTCCTTTTTCTTCCTCCTCTCCCTCATCTTCCTCGACGTATTCCTCCTCCTCTTCCTCCTCCTCCTCCTCCTCCGCCTGTCTCCCCCTGCTGCTCCTCCTCCTTACCATCATCATCGACCCATCCCCTCTCCTCCTCCTCCTCCTCCGCGTCCTCCTCCTCATCCTCCTCGTCGTCGTCCTTCATCTCGTCCTCCTCCTTTTCCTCCTCCTCCTCCTCCTCCTCCTCCTCCTCCTCCTCCACCTCTCTCCTCCTCCTCCCCCTCCACCTCCTCTTCCTGCTCCTGATGCAGGCGCCCGCGCGGCAATCCCTGGCGCAGGTGCCTGGGCGATTTTCGGGCTTTCCTCTCCTTTTCTCTGGTTCCTCTTCCCTCCTCCCTCCTTCTTCCTCCACAACCACCTCCCCCCTCCACCTCCTCCTCCCTCCTCCACCTCCACCTCGTGCCTTTTTTTCCTCCTCCCTCCTGTTCCCCCCTTTGCCTTGGAAAGCCAGGGTGATGCAGCTGGTGATGCACGGGAGGGCCAAACCGTTGGCTTCATTCTGGCGAGGCTGTACGCCACCGCGGTGGAGACCATGTACAGCATCCGCTGCCGCAAGAACGTGTGCGTCCAGGTAGGTCGGGGCGGGGTGGGTCTGAGCTGTGGGTGTCGTCATTCATGTTCTCTTTCCTTCCCCCCTCCTCCCCTCCTTCCGACCCCGCCTCTCCCTCCGTGCTCTGGCCTTGAAGCGACGCAGGGCAGGCCATCGGAAGCCAGGGGCCTCAGGAACAGAAGGAGGAAATACAAGCATACGGCGAAGGGCCATGCCATTATGTGCAACGGTGCCTCAACAACCGACTTGCAGGAGGTGTCGTGCGCTGGCATCACGTGCAACTCCAGGTTCCTCGTCTGCCAAGCGTGCTAACCAACGTGCTGCCTCACGCTTCACCTTAGTGTCGCCTGTGAATTTGCACTCACAGCGAGTAAGCTGTCTCGCGCAGTGCCATCCATTTGCGTGTAAAACCCCCTAACCACCAACATCCAGCATGATTGCTATATGCCTCCTCGTTTTGACATTGGAGTCGGTGTTGGTGAACTTGCGAAACCCACGGGGACGGAAGCGAGAGGAAAAAGCAGGACAATGCGGGCAAGCGCGCGGCTACCCGCAAGAGACACGTCCAAGGAGCAGGAGGCAGAGACAAAAACTCGGCGCCCTGACAACAAGGGCATCGACATGAAGGGCCAGGTGTCAGAGAAAGAAAAGGTCACCATACCGCTACCCGTCGCGCGCTTTCCCCTTGTTGGGCCTCCTCAGAAGTTCTCGTTGCCACAGCTGGATTTACCTCGAAATCCTTGTCAGAACTTTGGGACCTGCTGACCCGGGTCAATGCAATTGACTGGAAACTGCGGCATCTTGCAAGATCCTGCAGGATACTGCGGCATCCTGCACCCAAACCTGGGTCAGTGCGCCTCTGGTTCTGCAAGATCCTGCAGGATCCGGCGCTCTGGCTGACCCCCGTTTGCATTAACCCTCGTCTCTTGAGCCACGAAGAGCGCGCCCCTGGAGAAGTCCAGGGAATAGCGGTATCGGTACTTCTTGGTTTCCCCAGGGACGACCGCAACCTTGGACACAGACCCGCCCGAGCTCAGGGCAAGCAAACTAAGCCATCAAAACCGAGCCCCATCTGACCTTCCAAGAAGGGGCCCAGGGGCTCCCAGAAGGCCAAGAAGTTGTCCTCGACGAGCAGGGCCTCGGCTGACCAGATGCTTGACCACCGTAGTGGGAAGGGCTGCCCACGACGTGGGTACGGTCCATGGGAAATAGACCCCATGGCCCCGAGACGCTCGGGTCCCCAACTCCAGGCCAGGAAGATGAACCGCGAGGAGCACATTGGGCTTGCGAGTGGGAGCTCCGAAAACACACTGGTCAACCAACACCCCCTCGACCTCTGGCCTACTCCGGAAGAGCTGAATCTCAAGGAGTTTGCAATCCGGGTCTCAATGGCGGGGTGGGGTGCTGCATGACTCTTGGAATTGCGGTCCCAAGCGCCGCAATGAGGAAATACATAGCGGTGCGCGAGAGGAGGTTTTCGACCTCCACCTATCGGCTCTCACGGGCTCTCAGGTCCCCCCAGCCCCAGGGGCCTTCTGGCACTCTGGATGGACCGGGAGCGGGACCACGAAAGTGAGACACAGCGCGACCACGGGCCTGGGACCAGGTCTCACAGGGGGGGCTCGCCCAAA